GATTCTGGAAATAAGCAAAGCTACGGATATATAAAAGGCAATGCCATTATCCATGTATTGATGGGATTCTAACTTCCAAACTAAGTTAATAATAACTTAAAAGCTAACAACGAAAAACAGACAGATCTGTAACTAAAAGGATCACCCTGTTTCTTCCTGCAGAGAGACCTGATACTTTGTATTATCCCAGGATTCTTGGTTTAATCAACCAACAAAAAAGCAAAACACAATCGAACAATATTTACTTCCGTTGGAAAAGAACAGCTGCAGGAGTAAGCTAAGCTGTGTGTTATCCGAGGATGGTTGTCTTTTATATATTTTCTTGCATTCCGCGGAGGCAAAAGAATAGTAGCAAAAGAGAGAGATGTATTTTCTTCTCCGGGATGATTGGTTATATGCATAGCAAAATATTAGTTCGAAACGCATATTCAAAGCGAAATGCATTGTACTCCCTCTGGTAGATTCCGCGGCATGGGCCCCACTGCAATGTATCTCTCTGGTATTGGTTTTAGAAGGGTGGACTCTAAACGATTTCCAGAGTTGTTATCGACCGGGCCCTTGCTGTGAAACCTCGCGAAACGGTTGATAACAGAGAATCTTTCCAAATCCGCAATTTCAAATCTTATGTCTGCCATTGATGGCATTTTCTCCAGTCTGCAACAAAGAATCGAAAAAGGTCTTTATAACAGTGAGGAGGTAAAATGTTCTCACTTAACCACAACTGTTATCTTGTTAACATTGACAGAGGCATCATTAAAGTTTCATACCTTTCAAAGCTTTCCCCCAGTTTCTTCGCTTTCTCTGTTAATGTTTTAGCAACTTCAGAATGTTGCACATCCCTTCTCTTTAAGTTCCCAACCTTTTCCGGTACCCTAACAAGATATTCCGAGAAAAGGAGTTTTCAGGACCTCAGTAACTAAACTAGATACTGTGGCTTAAGCATTATAAAGAATGTGAATTGTGATTATATCAGTATAACACTCACTTCTCATCCTCGTTTGACGATGCTGGCAATGCTCTTTCTACCTTGTGGGTAAGGCTACAAGCATCACCTAGGGTTGCTCTAGCAACGAAGAACAAAAGTGTCTCGAATGTTGATGAAGCAGCTGAAAAGAAAATGAACGAGGGTGGAGGATCAAGTAGCTGCTGCATAAGCTGTGACGTTATAACAAGTCTTCTCTTTGAACGGTGTAATGGCGGTGCAAACTCAAAGGTCTGAGTATCATACTCGACCTACAATGGAAAGCAAAACAACATTCAGAATACAGAAACAAAATCATATATCAATTACTTTAACCATTTTCTCTAAGGTAATATACCTTCTCAACTACCAGGTTAGCAACTCTGGCCCATTCTTGTTCTGCCCTGCTGCAGAAAGAATTTATGTTTAAGTTAATCGAGTGAGACCATAAGGGGAAAAGAGTATAAATAGTCTGGGATAAACCTCATTGTGTGATCCCTTTGGGATGCATTAGAGACTTCTTCATACCAAGCCAACCGCTTGGTTCTCATAAGTTTGCGTTTCTTTGGTGTGATGATCTCTGTCAGTTTGTTCATTGTCTTAGAATGCTGAGGCAACTGATAGTGAGTCTCTTGAGAGTCAACTGCAGGTTGGATCTGGTCATTTCTAAAGGCTTCCATCTGCTTGAACCACACAGGTGCTGACACGGGAAGATTAAGATGGCTATGTTCCATGCCACTTGCTATGGCATTGCTGCCACTGGGCTGCTTCCCACTGGAACACACATTTTGTTCCATCTTTCGTTCATCGAACGCAAATGACTTAAGCTGTGACATTGAGCTCATTCCACTATCCATTGGCATTTTGAGTCCGTAGTTTTGTTCATATAACTTCGAGCTTGTACCAAAAACCATGTTATTCTCCCCATGCATTTTGCTAAATTCTCTGTTGGAGGCAGTAAAATCAGAGATATTCTTAGCAGCAGCTCCCTGCTTTTGAGGCAAACCGACCCTCTGTGGCATATTATATGACATCTGTTGGGGCTTTTGCCAGGTCATGACATCATTTCCCAACATCTCACCAGATGGTGTTGTATTCAAAGGAACCTTGGGTGAATCTTGATCCAAAGGATTTTGACGAGTTGGTAAGTCCATCCACACATTAAACTGCCGATTGGTACCTTGTTGGGGTGATCTAGATTGACTGGAGATGTGACCTCCAAGGCCAGCATCCAAATTAACTCTTGGAAATGTTGCATTGTCAGGTTGAGATTCTACATATGGATTGATCGTCTGCATTTGGGATAGAGAGACTGCAGGCGAATCATTCTGTTGTATGAACTGCGGGAATATCCCCGCTTTACCAAGATGACCGGGGTCATTCAACCAGTTTCCACCTTGAGAAGGGTCAAGTGAAGGCATGTTTACATGACTTGCAGACGAATCAGCTGTACTGAAGCGATGATTGCCTGTCTGAGATTGTAGCTGATCAAGCATCCCTGAGGACTGCACATACATATTACCTGTAGATAAATTATCAAAAGACACACCTGACTGCACCTGTTGATTTCCTCTGGGTAGCTTCTGCTGAGGATTACAATCCACCCAATGACCAGTCGCATTCGAAAACCTCTGAGTGGAATCAGGAGTACTTCCATCCTGAAACATACNTGATCTCAGTTGATCTGACGGCAGCTGAAACCCAGGAAAGCTAGAGTTTAACGACGCAGAGCCTTGTAAGGAATTATTATTCACACCACCAGCCTGCTGCTTATCACTATCCATAAAATTGGATACATTGTTATTGTCCGCAGATAGTTCCATGTTCTGATATGTTAAGCCGCTAAACTCCTCCTGGAGACCAGTATCACTGCTAGAAGCTTCTGCAACGGCAGTCTGCATAAGCGCACTCCAGCTCCCACTCTGCATAGATGGGAAAGGGCTGGAGAAATTCACACTGTCAAATTTGTCACCGAATACTCCAGAAGCAATCTCAGAAATGCTACTATCTTCCATATTGAATAGAATCTTCTCTTCTAGTGGGTCAAGAGGAACTAAACCCTGAGTTACTTTTGTATCCTTCTGCTGAAACGAAGACCAACCCGCTTGCTCCCCCGGCCTCCCACTGGAATCTTTTGAAGAAGTGTCGAATTGTTGAGAGTTTCCCATGAGGAGATTGCCGGAGAGTATTCCATTATTCAAACCGTTAACAGAACCTGCCTCAGATATACCTCTCCCTGTAACCCCAAGATTTGACATAAATGCTCCCTGTTGAAGAGATGCCTGCGCTGGAGATAAATCATACTGACTTTTAAGGAAGGGGTTATTAAAATCCGATAACTGCATCAAAGGTTTCTGTGATTGACCACTGAGAGGCCTAGCTGCTAGACTGCCAGGTTCCTGATACATGACTTGGATGGGAGGCTGTTGACCCATATTGCCTCTTGCATTAGAAACGGGAGTACCGTATAGAGAGATATCAAGCTGCTGGGAACCAAGACCCATCGAGAACATTGTTCTATTGAACGTTCCTTGTTGACCCGGGGATGCACTCCTCTGCGCCCAGTTTATATACCCTTGTGATGTATCATTTAGAGGCATTTCATCAACCAGAGGTGGAAACTGCCCACTATTATTAACTTGCTTCTGGACTGTTGATGAATACGGGTTTAAAAAGTTCTGCTGTTGAAGCTGTTGCTGGCTTTGAAGAGCATGTAGTTGCTTGAGCATCACCTGCTGCTGCAACAACTGCATCTCATCGTAACCAGACTGCTGCATAGGGATATGTTGTGGAAATATTTGCTGCTGGACAGCGAAATTCTCTTGAAGCCTTCTTTGGAAACAGAAATCACCACTAGAAGCTTCAGTTATCTCAGACCTTTCAGAATTTGTTGTCAGAGTTGGACTACCAACAGAATCATTATCTTGCTGAAACTTGAAAACCGACGAAGCACCTGAGCTTATATAGTTTTGTTGGTTATCACCTAAGCTTTCCCAGAACAACCCCTGTTGATTTTGCATCCCTTGCATATACTGTTGATCAAGCACGGAAGCATTTTGATAATTCACATACAGATTTCCCGAGAACGCAGCTCCGTGGCTTGGCACTGCATCGATACAGTTCGATAATTAACTTACAAAAAGACACCAAAGAAACAAAACCCATAAAAACAGGTACTTTACTAACCTTGAAGTTGAGCCTTAAAGTTCTTCAGATTGGAAGGCAAGGTTGCTCCACTCTCTGCAGTATCTAAATCAACGACTTGGCCTACACTAAATAAATCTTGAAATTCAGATAAATCGCAGAAACCTTCTTCAATTCCTTTACCAGGCATTAAACATTTAACCAAATCATCAGCTGATCTCTGTCCAAAAGACAATATTAGATCCATCAAAATCTGTAATACCGACAGTATTCAAGATATGTCACCCCAGTAAACCAATGCAAAGCTTAATTGCTCAACAAATCCTAAACTTTGACACTAATCTACATGAAAATGCAATTTAAAACCTCTCAATTGGGGGGAAAAACCCAGAATCAAAACCCTAAAACACTAAAACATAAACACAACTTTAACAAATGAAAATTAGCTTCCATGAAAATTGACAAGGGCTAAAGCGAGAAATGATGAAGCAAAATCAATGAAACTAGAGCTAATTCAACAGAAACCTCAAGAGAGAAACTTAGAATTACCGTAAGGAAGCAAATGAAGACAAAAATCGGTGATCTAAGGAGAAGAGAAGCTGAGGAATCGTCTAGGGTTCTTCTTCACTGGAACCGCAAACCTTAACACGCCTCAATTTGCCACCAAAATGATAAAATATATATATAAAAAAAAAGGATTTTTTTTTTTTCAATTTTTCCCCTTTTTCGAGCTTCTCTTCTTCTTCCCTTGACTTGACGCTGCAAAATTCGTAACAATTCCCAAATTACTCTTTTTCTCCTCTTTATATGAACAGTAGACCTTCGCAATTTCGGATTCTTCAAAGATGTAAAATTTTCAGACAAGAAGGCCGAAGAAAGAGGAAGCGATACTACAGCAAGAAAAAATTACAGTGTGAAATTATAAAAAGAGAGAAAGAGGAAGAGAAACTAATTTCCAGAAGAAAAAAAAATTTATCAAAAATAAAAAGTTATAAAAATCGTGACAAGGAAACCGGACCTCAGGTTCGGAGTTTGGTCCGGAGGAAAAGAGGCGGTAATTGCGTGTACAACGTGCATCAAAATCCGATGCACTTTGAGTATATTAAACGGTCAAGATTGGTGATGAGATTAAGATCGTACGGTGTAGGTTTCAAGAGAAAGTAGACCTAGATAACTGCGAATCGTTTATTCAGAGATAGGCTGAAAAAAGTGGGTGGAAACAAAATAAGTTCTGTGATAATCCCACGCGCTTTAATGCAACGCGTGGATTTTATTTATTTTATCTCTATAACCGATTATTCTACTATTTATTACTCTTTTTATTTCCAAATTTTTTATATTTTTTAAATTGAAAAGCTAAAAAGAAAAGTGTCTTTTTTTTTTTTTCATATGATAGGAAATTTGCTTTGCCCGCCAAATGGAGCATAACAAATCTAGTAGTATTCAGTACGGCAAAGACAAAATAAACAAATACAATTTGTTTTAATAAGTCGTCGTTAAAATAATAGAAACAAAATTGATTTCCCACCCAAAATAAAATTAAGATTCAACATTTCGAGATAAGAAGAGCTGTTATACAAAACCTTGAAAATCAATATAGCTTCCCTCCAGTAGAACTTGCAACAGTCTCTCACTCCAGGATCGAGAATCGTTGATCGATTTGGGACCGGAATAGCAAAGGATCTTGGTGTTTCTGAGTTCCACATTAAGAAAAGAAACAGTACAAAGGTTTCTAATTTCAGACCTTTTTACGAAATTGAGATTGGTTTTGTTCCACATTTCATGTAAGAAAATAAATGGTGGAAACGGTTTGGGATTTCAGACCTTTTATAGAATTGGGATTTCAGAAGAAATTCGAAGTTTAGAGTCTGCTCCTCCGCTGATTACGCTGTCTCCTTTCCACCAGTCGGCAGATAAAACCTTTAAAACCGAGTTTTTTCGGCACGGTTTTCAGTACCCAAAAGAAGGACAGAATGGAAGTCGGAAGATAAGACTGTTTACTTTACCTTATCCTTGTGAGTGTCGATAACTGACAAAGGCCACTGCAAATAGAGGAAGAAAATTAGTTTCAAAGCAGGAAACTTCCCAGTTAGGAACAGAAAGGAGTGTGTATGTGTGTGTAATTACAGCGGTTCTGAGATCCCAGAGCATGATTTTGCCATCATAGGAAGCGGAGAGCAAGTGAAACCAAGAGCTTTTGTGCCATTTACAGGCAGAAATCCATGATGAGTGTGAAGAGAATTGAAACACGGGAGCGGATGTTCCTACAGTGTAAATACAGATAGTTCATCAGCTGCGTAACAAGAAAAAACGGTATGGTTATAAATTTTGACTCGGCATGTGTTCTTATGGATCTCTAACCTGGCTTACGAGGATCCCAGACTCTAAGGACTGGATCTGAGCCACCACCAGCTATTAGTGCAGAACCTTCACCGCCTACATCTACCGTGTTGAGAGCTTTTCCACAGAACTACAATTTGACAGATACAAACCGGATCTATAAGTTTCAGCAACAACGTGTCTGATGTGTGCCTGGATTTATGAGAAAGACGAGTAGGGTGCGAAGGGCATACCAAGTTCAAAGAATCTTTCCCTGTCTCAACATCCCAACACTTTACAGAATGGTCCCATGAAGAGGAATAAATTACATCATGCTCTGGCCAAACAACTGATGAGACACACTGTGTGTGTCCAACTAATGTAGTCACCGCTTCTCCCTGAATCAAATTCAATAAAGTAATTAGTATTACATACTTTGGCTGAGAAAAACAAAATTTGGAGCGCATCTCTCTTCTTCTCCATTTAAGGAGAAGATTGTGTATTTCAAAAGAATGAATAGGCAAAATCATCCAGACTTTATTGTTGGTACCTCTGACTGAGATTCCTCGATCTGATTATTCCCTTTTCTTTTCTTCACTGATACTGACTCCCCTTCAGAAGTAGACTCATTTGTGTGCCATAAATTGATGGTGCAATCCCATGAACCCGAACAAACCTACATTACATTATATAGCAAAAACAGCGATGAGCACGATGAGATATAGCAAAGTGGTTTCAAAGTTTCATTTGCAAAACACAAGTTAAGCGCAAGGGGAAACAGCTAACCATGTTCCCAGAATTCTGAGCTGCAACACTTTGCACTGACGCCTTGTGCCCACGCAATATCTTGTAAGCCCTAACTTTTGTAGTAGAGTCAACAGATTCAGCTGTATCAAACTTTATAACAAAGATATGACTTTAGTTGACCGCAAAATTAACCTTTGATTTTAACTATCATATATTATCCATGTTTACCTTGAACAATCTCAATGTCCTATCTTTCGAAGCAGTGGCTGCGGAAACACTTTCTGCACCTGGATGCACGAATCAACCCAAGAAAACTTAGATTAGGAAGGGATCGATGGGCGAAAAAGGAAAAGTCCTTCTTGTTAATAGCATTTGCTAGTACAGAACAGGTATAGTATAGAATTCTGATGCTATGCTCATACCATTGGAGTTAACTAAAGCAATAGAGGAAATTGCCCCAGTGTGGCCTTCTAAAATGTGTGTACATGATCCAGCAGAGCTCCATATCCTAGTCAGAAGAAAAACCAAAAAATCTAAGATTCTTGCAAATGCTGAAAGCAATACAAAAAGGCAGAACATGAGTAGATGCACACAAGACACATTAAATGAGTAATATGATTACCTTCCTAATCCATCATAGCAGCCAGTCAAAATGAACCTGCAAAGGACAACAACGAGAACATGACAAGCCCGTTAAAAAAACATTAACGAAAAAGAACAATTGAATATATTTATCCTTTAAAATCATAACAATCACAGGATGACCCTGATTTGTATAATTTTAAGCAAAAGCCACAATGGCCAGCAGGTACATGTGAAGAATAATCCTAGCAACAATGATATGGGAGTCAAAACCAGGATACAGTTCTATCATTTTCCATATGGCCTCAACCAACAGGTGGTAATGCAAAGAATTGAACAAGAGCTTCGATTTCAATCCACACGGCCATTCAACACCATATAGTAATGCAGTAGACATAAAATAATACCTGGGAGAAGAACCATTCACTGCACTGACCCAGTCATCATGCAACGAGGGTTCTTCCTCCTTCCGTGGTGTTACAGCCCTTATGTATTCAATTTCAAGAGTTCGTTCCTGCAAGAACCAAGAGTTTAAATAAGTATATGTTTCCAATCCAGGATTATTTTCATGATGCGGACAGCGCGCCCAGCCATAGCATTGAAATTTACACTGATTTGCTTTGCCTCACGAAATGAAAAGTACAACAAAGTTTCCAATAACACTAGTTTGGTGTGTTTAGCAGGTGAATAGGGTTCAAAACATTACCGCTGATATTCCCTTCGCCATAAGAAACTCTTCGAGTGACATTCGAATAAGCTCCCCATCGATCAAGAAGTCAAATGGCTCAGGTTTCTCTGTTCATACGACAAATAAGAAGAATCTCAGAGATTAATATAACATAAATTCAGGTAATCACATATAGATGTTTTCAAGTACACTCTTAATCCATAAGTACAAACAAATGCCTAAAACAAACCAAGAACTCTCTAGCATACGAAAGGGACACGCATCCCAATAAATACTTTAGGATTTGACAACACATTTAAAGACAAGACCAACAAGCACCAGCAAAATCAAAGAAACTAAAATCCCTGCAAAAATCAACAAGCTACAGAGATAGAAGAGGTTACCGGAATCGAGAAGAGAATTGACTATGGAAGATAGACCGAGACGAGTGACATCGGAAGGGATAACGACGGAGGTGGCCGGAACTTTGAACGGAGAGTCAAGCTTAGTTACAAACTTGACGTGAAGTTTCCTAGATACATCTTCTCCTTCGACATCCATTTTTTTGCCTCTTAATTTCTCAAATCGCCGATTACAGAGCACGAAGAAGAAGACGAGAGACGGAGATAAATTAGGGTTCCGACTCGAGGAGAGGAGAAGAGTGTGTGAAAAATACACATGGTTTAAGGAAATTACTAAAATTACGGAATTAGCCTCCTTTGCTCTCCGGTTTAGTTCATACCGGGTACTCAAACCAGAGGCAAAGTGCGGTTCGACGAATGAGAGAAGATAAATTTTGTGGGCTTAAATACCTTTGAGCTGGGCCTTTCGCAGGCCTCAGCTTTTTCCATCCGGTCTGTGTAAAATAGGTTGGTCGAAATACTCAAATTGATTTAGATCGTGTGTGGTTATAAATCGTTGACGAAATATTTTAAATTAATATTTCCATCGAGGATAGTTATTTTTGGTATAATTTGTTGGGTTAATTAGTGAAATAATATGTTTGGATATATAAATTAATAAAATAATATGTGTAGTTTAAAAATTTAGTAAATATTAAAGAGAAATAAAACTTGACCATTTTACCTCTTATCAATTCAATTAAAGTTGTCACTTTAAATGCATATTTAATGCAAATTGGTTTTTTTTTTAAAAGAGGTAATAATTTTTCCAAAATAATCTTGAAATTGAC